TCTTTATTATACTTAACGAAGTTTCTCGGAGCGTTTTACTTCGGTGTACTCGAACAGACACATTCGTAAACAAATTTTCTAACCTTTCTGCTCTTGTTGCGCAGACGTTTTTGAGTTCGTGCTGGGATTCTACTTGATTCACGATCATACGATGACGCTTCTGAAGATGCTTTTTATCAAGTTGAAGAGTTGATAGCCCCGGTTGATGGCTCCTTTGGTATAACTTGATTCTTGATAAATTCACTCAAAATGTTTGCTCGTAAATTGATGTCTCGTAAGGCTTGCAGACCGACCCCTTCCGAAAACGCTTAATGTCCTTTAGTGTTGGTCTACCTTGAACGGTGTGTTCGATTGTATATGATTTCATCGCCCCAGAAATCATGGAATCCGTGCTAACTTTTCACGACGACAACCTCTGTAAATTCCATGTGCTGTACGTATGCACAGGTGACGCATGCGCTTTAGAGACCAGACGACGATTTGTGACTGAACGAGGAAAAAACAAAAAAAAACAAAACAGAGTCGAAATTTAAACCCAGGCCTCACTGCGTGGGTAATTACGTAAGGTGCCATTAATCAATACAGCTTTATTCAGCTGAGTTTTTAGTATAACAGTTAAGGTGGTCTTATCTCTAAAATTTTTTTTTTTTGCAAAACAACTCTGTGGAACAGTTTTGGTATCACGTTAAAGGACTTTGCACTCTGACTTCAAAAGTGAGCTTTTCCAGCTCACGTGCCATGATAGTTAATGAATAACTAGCTCCTTAGTGTTAAAAAGTGGTGTTNATAAATTCACTAAAAATATTTGCTCGCAAATTGATCTCTCGTAAGGCTTACAGACCGACCCGTTCCGAAAACGCTTAATGTCCTTTAGTGTTGGTCTACCTCAAACGGTGTGTTCGATTGTATATGATTCCATCGCCTCAGAAATCATGGAATCCGTGCTATATTTTCACGACGACAACTTCTGTAAATTCCATGGGCTGTACGTATGCACAGGTGACGTATGCGCTTTAGAGACCAGACGGCGATTTGTGACTGAACGAGGAAAAAAACAAAAAAACAAAACAAAACAAAAAAAAAAAAACGGAGCCGAAATTTAAGCCCAGGCCTCACTGCGTGGGTAATTACGTAAGGTGCCATTGATCAACACAACTTTATTCACCTGAGTTTTTAGTATAACAGTTAAGGAATAATCGTAATGATTTCATACATACCATCATCAGTTAAAAAGGCCGAATCGCTTTCTAATTTCAAGAAGCTTAGTAAGAAAGAGAGATGAGTATATACATTTTCCCCGAATTCTTATTGGTTTAAATTGATTAAGCAATGCGATAGTGTTCAGTGGCGGAGAGACACTACTTAAAGGAGTGTTTCTGTCGAGGAAATTTGGTGTTTTTAACATTAGCATCGCTTCTCGGGAAAATATTCCGAGGGGCAACTATCAGCCGATAGTTCCACTGCGCGAAAAGC